ATGTACAGCATTTATTAATCATAATTGAACATTTACTAATGCATTAATAACATCCAAGTCAATGCTTGTTAACATTAGTTAATGCACCATGAGTTAACATTAACTAACTATGAACAATTGTATTTTCATTAACTAACGTTAACTAACATGAACAAATACAGTAGTAAATGTATTGTTCATTGTTTGTTCCCATTAGTAAATGCATTACTTAACATTAACTAATGAACCTTAATGTAAAGTGTGACCATATTTTTTTTTATTAATGGCTGTTTGCAGTACTGTGCATTTATTATTTTTTTGGGTCTATGTTACAAAATGTAAAGGTACAAATGGAATCAAACATATAATTTTTCAAAGATGCCAAAATTATCAAATGTATCTCATGTAAAAAGAAGAGAAAAGTAAAAGAAGAAATATGTTTAAAGAGCCCATATTATATATGAAATAGGGTCATATCTTGGTTGTAAGGGTCTCCAACAACAGTCTAATATGCATGCAAGGTCAAAAAAACACTTTCATGGTCTTATAATCTGCATTTATTTTTACCTAATTATCCCAGCGACTCCTGTATGAATCGTCCAGTGATTCATTTGTTCCCAAACCCCTCCTTAGCGTGAAGCTAATCTGCGCTAATTGGACCGATGACAGTCTGTCGCGATTGGTCGACTGCCTTCAGTCAGAGAGTGAAATGCCCAACAGCTAATCAGCAATATAAAAGTAATCACAGTTCATACACGCTCGATAGTGTAGGCGTGGATTTTAGCTGCCAGTTAGTGAATGTAAATACAGTCGATGGACTTGAAAATACAGACGACTAACTATTTTATTGACCAAAAACTCCAAAAACTGTCGAGGAGATCACATAGCTTGTCTCACTCTGCTCTTTTCAAAGACACACACACAAACACACATATTGCCCTCGTCCTTGTGCGCGCGCACACACACACAAAAACACACACACACCTCTGGATGACAACGTGCGTGCACACAAACACACACAAATACCTCCAGACGACAGGGCACGCACACACACACTCACACACACACCACACACACTGCCCTCGTCCACGGAGCTCTGTAAACAAAGCAGCACGCGTCGCGTTTTTAATGTGGCTTTGCACGCGATAAGAGAATATAGCCAGTTAACCTGATACAGTACACGCGGTTACAAGTAACAAATCACAACTAAATACATTTGCAAGCTAGAGTCAACGAGGCAACAACTTTAATCGCAAGTACTTACACTTGAGAAATGGAGGAAGAAACCCCTCCTGACGTCCATCAGTAAGTTACTCTTTACTGATCCTTCCTTTAACAAACGCAGATGAAGTATTTTTTGTAGCATGTAGTTTGCAGTTGTTTCCAACTGCTTGGTTATAATGCTGAGGTTTCATCTTTGGGTAGAGACTCGATAATATCCATCTGCAGTGTGACTTCAATCGACCGGCATGTTTGTGTGTGTGTGTCTGGGTTTCTGCGTCAGAGGGCGGGGCCTCAGGTTTGAAATCTCCCGGGTTTGCGCGTGCATGTGAATAACTTGGTTTCGCTCGTACGTCATGGCGAAACACCTAATGAATCGGTATCAAGGCGACTCGTTTGAAGCACTATGAGTCGACTCTTTTATAGATGAATCAACAGTTTTAAACACTGTACACTAACATATTTAAGCCTTAGCTGGATACTTCACTTCACTTAGAGCTGTGTTACACACTACATGGAGGGTAATTTTCAAAAACCCATAATATGGGCTCTTTAAGTAATAGACAAATGATTTATGTGGTAATGTGGGGTGGGAAAACGATAAGCTCGTGCTTCATCCCACTATATTTTCGACCATGTTGAAATGTATTTTTCGTTACTGATATTTTATGTATGCTATTTCTGTTAAAAAAATAACTAAATCAAATCAAATCAAATCAAAATGGATGTTAAATCTGAACTAAGCAGTTTCCATTGACTGCTGTTTTGTGAATTAGTCAAAGTAATCTCATCTGCTTTTGTTCTAGTCTTCTTCCTGAAACAGTGTCAATGAAGTTCATTCTAAAAACAGCACATTTGTCATTCTGGCTCCTATAGGCTAGCTTGATGTTATTATCTTAACATCTAAAAGTTGCATGATAACAGATTGTAAAACAAAGGTTTTAGGCACAACTACACATGTTCAATTCTCTTTCTAATCAAACAAAATAGTTCAGATAAGGGACACGTCCAAAATATGCACTGTTGGTGTGTCTATAGATTAGGGTTGGGAAATGCTGCCGTCAACACGAGCATTTAAAACCAGTAAAACTTCCTGCTAACCCACAGTAGTAAAACTGAGGTAAGAGAAAAGCTTTATTCCGCATTGTATAAATTAATTATTCTGTAATGTGTGTGTGTGTGTGTGTGTGTGTGTGTGTGTGTGTGTGTGTAATTATGATTATATCATTAAATGTTTTGTTCTACGTTTTATATTTTAATTAAATGGATTGTAATAGTGTCTGTTTTATTTTTTAAAACAGTAAAAAAGTACTATACATTGAGGCGACACATGAAACTGTATATGTATACATATTGTTTTTTACTTTATATAATAAATTAAGAAATAAATAATTGTGATAATGTAACAATTATTTTCTATTTTTAATATTGTACTTTGTACTCAATGATTGGGCTATATTTTTGTTATTAAAAGATTCATTTTTATCATTATTACACTTCAGTCTTCAGTGTCACATGATCCTTTGGAAATTATTCTAATATGCAGATTTGATTGTTACTTGTTATTATTTTCTTTGGGGGTTTTACATAGATTTTACAGTCATTTTTATGTCAAATTGAAATAGCTGTTCCTCGGGTCTTCAGACATTCAGGGGTACGTTTCTGAAAACCATTGTTAGCTAAGGTCGCAAGCTGCGTAGTTACAGTTTGTTGATTTGGCATTTCCCAAATCTGTCATTCCAATGAACATTTGCAGACTGCATCTGAAACATTCTAACATTTAAACTTGGAATAATTTAAAAAAGAAAAAGCATTCTCAAGTCATCACTCTTAGTGATTTAATATACAATATCCTACTTAATATTAAATAATATATTATTATTATTATTATTATTATTATTATTATTATTATTATTATTTTATTATTATATTGTTAATGGATGTAGGCCTAATTTACAGTAGGCTGTTTTTTAAGAAATTTTAAAAATCCTACATAATAAAAATAATAATAATAATAATAATAATAATAATAATAATAATATGTATTTTATTATTATCATTGAGTAGATTTTTTTCATTTCCTAATAAACAGCCTACTGTACTGTAGCAATGTTTTATATATAAGATTAGAATACATGTTAGCATAATGATTTTATATAGGATATTCTCAATAATATTTGTAAAGAAAACATATATAGGTCCTATATGTGTCGTTTACGTATTTCAATTAATATAGAAAATGCATGTCTTTTTTTATTTATTTATTTATTTTTTTGCCAAAACTAATATTGGATTTTATAAAAATGTGAGTTCATGTAAAACAATCATTTTTTCTGTAAAGAAGTAGCTACTCCACACAGTTTAGAGCTTTGGTTGGCAAACTTTTTAGACCCTAGGGCCACATCAAGTTTTGCAAACCAAGTGAAGGGCCACATGTCAAATTCTTCAAAAAATAACTTTTAAGTAAAATTTACAAGTCAAATTATTTTGCACTGCTATTTAAATTTACTTATCAATCATCATAAAACAATAAAATAAACCCTTATCAAATATAATGCTAATAATGTCATAATTTTTACAATGGAGAATAGAAAAGTTATTGTCTGATAGAAAAAATATCATATGAACACATTAAAAATAATTCTTAAAAATTACTATTCAGTCAAATTTACAATAATCTAATTTGCACTGTTTTTAGAATATACAGATCAATCACCATAAACTTCATAAAACCCCAAATCTTAAAGTGGAAAATATATTCTATGACAAAAATTGTCATACACACATTTAACCAGCAATTATTATATAATTTGAGTCAAATTCACAACTATCTCATTTGAGCTTGTATTATTATGCTCATATCAATCATTATAAAACTATGACATAAAACGGAAAATAAATATTAGTCTTTGTTATTTCAAGTTATGTTATTATGAGTGTGTTAATGTGAACATTGAGCCTGGTCTCCTTTCTTCGCGAGGGTGTCAAAGTCTGGAGTCTGCTATGGTAAAAACGTGAGGCGCAGCAGGCAGTGAAACGCGAGGCGTGCAGGGCGCAGAAGCAGCGCGCAAACCCTCGTGGCCATTAGTAAACCATTCAAAAGAGGCGCCTCTTAAGCGCGTTCAGTGTGATCAGCCCCTTAGGTTGTAGTCTTTAAAAGCAGCAATATTTTCTATTAGACATACCGCTTTCTGTCCGCTTTTGGTGAAGAAGTATTTTGTTGTCCATTCTTCCTTAAACACACGACATTCAGAGTCAATTTATTTTTATTTTTTTGCCCGACTCATTTTCATTAAAGGTCGAGTGCATTTTAATATCTGAGAGTGTGTTCTAATTCTACTGGTTGCTCTAACTGTACTGCATGCAATACTGCCATCACATGGTGTTCACTTGCATTTTTAATTTACTAATTCTGAACCAAACAGTTTCTCGGAAGCAGCATTTTAAAAACTCCCTCGCGGGCCGGATGAAAGTGTTCAGCAGGCCGCATATGGTCCACGGGCCGTAGTTTGCCAACCTCTGGTTTAGAGTGTCATTATGGAGGTTTTATGTTTTAACTAACATGGTTAAAATGATGCATCTGTGACAGAGAAACTACAGTTTGGGGAAACACTCCTCACTACATCGTTATTTTCCCAAATGATGCATCATACTATGATAGTTCAGTCTCGAGTTATGTCATTGTTTCGGAAACTCACCCCAGAATGGACGATTTGATTTCTAAATGTGTATGTTACTACATTGTAACACACTTTACAGTACAGTCTGTACAACATGTACATTTTAATCAGTCCCAATATTATCAAATTAATTTTAATAATTAAACATAATTTATAATTAAATGCTAGTTTAAAAAAATGTCTGCGAATACAGTTTTATGAATGGGATTTTATCCTACAAACACTGACTTAACATTATGTAAAAAAATGGATGAAGATTGTTCTTTGATCACAGATAAAGGACTCGTACATTCTGTTGTTATCTCTGACATCATCATGAGATTATCTCTGCTTTTAGCACATCTGCTGGTGCTCTTTTCAGTTTTGGCACTTGGTAAGGTTTTGTATCCTATATTTACGCCACATCAGTTTTTACACGTGTCTTTCTGAATCTAACAGTCTTTCTTTTCAACAGTCAGAACACAAACAACTGCAAAGCTACTGGCAGGTAATTTTATATTATCGATTAAATCAGCAATTCATTAATTTGCTTTTACTCATTTTTATATTCTAGGTTAAATGGTATTTATGTACGACAAGGTTTTTACGTTGTTATTTTCACTAGTGATGGGAAGTTTGGATCATTTTACTGACTCGGATCTTTGAGTCATACTGTTACATTATTACAGACAACAAACAGAAAGTAATGCAAACCAGGCTGTTTTAATGACAGGCTTGAGTAATGGCGTGCAAATCTCATAATGGTTATAGAAAGTCAAACTGTTTCCCATCGGAAGGAATTCGTGGAATGTAGAATAAGCAACAAAAGACACAAAGGAGACATCTCGTGAGAAAACAGTGATAGCATTGGGTCAGATGAGTTCAAGCAAAGACTATAGAATACACCAGACAAGTCACTCGTATACTTTTGAGTGGGAAAGAGTGCAACTGTCTATATGGTGAATAAAGCCCCCCCTTCTAATACAGGATCCAATCGGCAAACGCTATAAAGCAATAAAGCACCCCTTCTTATAAAGGAGCCAATCAGGGATTGCTTTAGAATGATCCTTCTCCAGGGGAGGGGCTTGGACTAGACATGAGTTTCTGCAGATTTTGTGTGATACGAACATTTAGAAATTAACCGAAAGAGACAGTTGTTGTTTAATATTATTGGTTATTCATGATATGAAATGTAATCGTAAGCTTGGCAAGTAGTTTTGGAGAATTTGATGTTTCCCCGTTTCATAGATGGCTACCGAGTAAAATGCCTTAAAGAAACTTGTTAAAGTAAGCGAATTGTACACCAGATTACTTTAGTAGTGGTGCTGATAAGGCAGTGTAAAGATGATGAAGTTCAAAACCAACCCAGGCTCATTCTGAAAACGTAGTGCCGTGGACGTTTCTGAAGACCGCAAATTACATAGCCGGAGGTATGCAGGGCTGCATTTTTTATTTTTTATTACACTACGGGGAGGTATGACGCAGCTCCTTTTGGCGCTCGCCAGCTAACCGCTTATCTCTGTGTCAAGGGCGTTCTCGCCCCAACCAGTTTGTCCAGTTAGTTCGTCGTGTTTGTCGGTGGACTTGAGATGCAGAGACAAGTTGACCATGACAAAGACCAGGTTCAAGTCTGGAAAAAAAATGGTTCCAGAAATCAGGTTAGAAAAAACAGAATCAAAAAAATAAAACAAACAAAGGAATAACAGGGTGAGAATGTGGTAAAACCTGAAAATGTAGTGAAAATCAGACAATGGCTTTTCTTTTTATGGACGGCTTTTGTAAATCGCTGGTTGGGTTTAAGGAAGGTAGCGGGTGGGCGGATCAATCAATAAAATTGGTTGGGTTTAGGGGAGGAAAAGGATGGGTCAGCCGATTGACTGGTCGGCCCCTCAGTCAGTCAGTCAGACAGACGGTCGGTCGACAGGGGCCTCTGCTGGGTTTATGCGAGAACAGCACGGACGCGAACGGCACTCCTTGGAGAAATTTGAGATGCAAAAAAGTGCACACAGCAGCCTCTTGCGAAAACAAAAATACGTACCTCCCGGGACGTAACCCCCCCTTGTGTGCAATGTTTTGAGTGCCCAATAATGACAATAATACATTTTCATCATAATAGGAATTAATCTGCCTCATTTTTTAACTTTGCAGAGCCGTATCTGCTTAATTAGACCTGCTACGCTACTGTATTTTATTATGGGTCAATATGGTGGTACATGGAGAGACAATTCGTTTCTGAGGTGGTACTTGGTGAAAAAGGTTGGAGAACCACTGATCTAATACACATTATAATATGTTTGTTAATTATATAGTAATGCAAATTATTTTATCAAGCATTTCCTTTCAGATGAGTCTTTGGCTTCTTGACTTTAGTATTTTCCAAACGAAGAGATTCTCTACAATTTGCTATATTTAACTTTATTTTATTCCTCTTTTAGGTGCTTTATATCTCAGCCCACAAATGTATAATATGTAATTTCAGCTATTTAACTTGATAACTTCTTTTTAACAGACCCCTCTTATGACCCCTGCAATAATTACACTGTGCTGAATGATTCATGGAGATCCACCAAGAATACATACAACAGCTCTTTACTATATTGTGACCAATATGTCAACTGGTTCGGCTGGTATCGTCTCTTCATTAATGGTCAGAGTGCACAGATGCCAGACACGTGTGTTGCAATGTATAGTTGTGGCGCTCAGGGTCCCCTGTGGCTGAGTGGAGGACATCCAACAGTTCAGGATGGAGTGGTCACTCGAGATGTCTGTGCTCGTGATACCAGCTGCTGTAATGTTAAAGCCCGTCCAATTAGAGTCAAAGCCTGTCCAGGAGGTTATTATGTCTATGAGTTAGTTAACCCATCAATTGGCTGCTATAACGCATACTGTGCAGGTAAGAATATTTAGCATTCACCCATCTATGTGTTTATGTAATATGTCGGTGTTGATTGTTTTTGGAAGGAACATTAAATGAATGTAATTTTTTTTTTTTGCAGATGTTGCGAACAATACTGCCACTCCAGTGACAACCTTAGCTGGTAAAGTAGTTTTGCTGAAACTATTATTTTATTATATATATATATATATATATATATATATATATATATATATATATATATATATATATATATATATATATATAAAAAGATGGCCGAATAATTTTGTCTTTGACAGGGTGTTTCAAAAATTAATAACTGCTCTTATTCTAGCCGAAATAAAACAAATGACTTCCTCCAGAAGAAAAAATATTATCAGACATACTGTGAAAATTTCCTTGTTCTGTTAAACATCATTTGGGAAAAATAAAAAATAAAAAAATCCTAAAGGGGGTTGATAATTCTGACTTTAACTGTATATATATGTATATATATATATATATATATATATATATATATATATATATATATATATATATACACACACACACACACACACACACACAAACACACACACACACACACACACACACACACACACACACACACACACACACACACACACACACACACACACAACAGTTCCGTCTGATTCCTGAATCTGATTGGCTGATAGCCGTGATATATTAAAGTAATATCAGCACTCTTACAGCCTCTTCACCCTTGCGTATTACTTTACTCTCACAAGTGGCAAGAAGAGGACTACAGTTTGACAAATATTGCAGCTGTTGGACAACATAATGTACTTTAGGCTCTCTAGTCAAGAATGTAGCTATTTAGACTGCAATTTATAAGGATAGTGCCTATTTTAAAATATTTATAACTTCAGAGAATCAGTGCTTTGGCTGCCATCAGCCTGTCTTAGCAGACCAAGGAAAGTGACGGTTCCCTCACAAGATGGCGACAGAGACCACATAATAAGCCGTCATGCTGCGCTCACACCAGATGCAGACCACAGAAATAAATCATGCTATTTGTGCGTAAATAGACGCGTGAACATTTTCAGTTTACTTGCTTCATTTGTGTGTCAAAAAAGTCCAAATTATTAGCCCCCCTTACAATTTATTAATTTTTTATAAATATTTTGCAAATTATGTTTAACAGAGCAAAAAAAAAAAAAAAAAGTTCACAGTATGTCTGATAATATTTTTTCTTCTGGAGAAATGTTAACTTAATTAAATGTTAATGTAAATATGCTTTTTTTAACACATGGCAGCACCAGGAATCTTCTACACATTCGGTTCCTCAGCAGGAGATGCAATAAATCCTGCTGATGATGATGGAGGCTCCTCTGCTATTACACTGCTAAGTCCATTTCAGTTCTTTGGCCGCACATACCAGCAGATTTATGTAAGAATTTGATTTCATCCTTATTCTAAGACATGATCAGTAGCATCTGTGGTTGTGATATTAAGGGTATTTCTCCTGTTTCAGGTTAATAATAATGGACACCTCACATTCAGCCAGGCTTCTTCCGAGTTTGTTCCCTACTCATTTCCTGCTTTTGGAAGTCAAGATATAATTGCTGGACTCTGGACTGACCTTGATAACCGAGTAAGAGGAGTCATCTCTTATCATCAATACACTAATGGAAGTGTTCTCACTCGCGCCACTCAGGATATCAACAGTTATTTCCCAAATCTGACCTTCACTGCTTCTTGGGTTTTTGTTGCAACGTGGGATAAAGTCGCTTACTTCAGCTTGACCAACACAGTATGGTTGATAGACTTCTGTTTTAACTTTATCCATGATTTAATTTTAAAATGAGTTGACAAAAAAGTTGACAAAATTTAAAATGTTGACAAAATCTGTGTATGTCAATCTTGCAGGAAACATCCTTTCAAGTGGTTTTAATTTCAGGCGGTAACTATTCATTTATTCTGATGAATTATGGGGACATTGCTGTAACAAGACACCAAGTAGAGGTAAAATAGTTCTGTACTGAGAGTTCAGTTTTTTATTACTACCAGTATATGTCCTCTGTAAATACAGATTTTATGAGTATTGTTTTATATACGTTTCAGGCTGGTTATGACACTGTGACCTCCACAAACTACTTTGTGATTCCTGGATCAATCAATGGGAGCTCCATCTTAAACCTTAACACCTCCAGTAATGTCGGAGTTCAAGGCCGATGGGCCTTCAGGGTGGACAGTGGACCAAGAAGCAACATCTTTAAAAGTATGGTTTATCTTGCTTAACATATATTTGATAGCAATCCATGCTTTGTCTGTTTTGTTTGCTTTTTCTGTCCAACAATCACAACTAAGTATTTTATTTGTGTTCTGTGTGTGCTTGTGTTAACTTTAGGAGTTGTTGGACTTCAAGTAAGGTTTTCCTCATTTGTAGACCTCACACAGAATGGAAACACTGATATCGTTTTACAGCAAGTACGTCATGTTTATCACAAATATGTTTACTTATAAAATAGTACTAAAATAGTAAAAAGTAGTGCTCATTCATGATTTGTGAAAACTATGTCATTTGTGTTTGTTGGTCTGTCTTCATTTCAGGTCAAACAGGAGCTGGTCAGATACGGTCTGCCAAACAACATAATGATAAAAGTTAGAAAAGTGCAGAAGATAAATCTGTAAACAGTGTGTTTTTTTTTTAAGAAAAAGAAAACATAAAACAAACTAAACCTTTGCATTTAGGATTTATATCAAACCTCACTAGAGATGCAAAATTTCACAACCCAGTACCCAGAAACACCCATACACGAGGGCAAATTTAGTTTATTCAATTCACCTATAGCGCATGTGTTTGGACTGTGGGGGAAACCGGAGCACCTGGAGGAAATCCACCCCAACAAGGGGAGAAAATGCAAACTCCACACAGAAATGCCAACAGACCCAGCCAGGACTCGAACCAGTGACTTTCTTGCTGTAAGGCAACAGTGTTAACCACTGAGCCACTATGCCACCCACTGTGGTAACCATTCATTCATTCATTCATTCATTTTCTTGTCGGCTTAGTCTCTTTATTAATCAGGGGTCGCCACAGCGGAATGAACCGACAACTTATCCAGCACATTTTGTACGCAGCGGATGCCCTTCCAGCCGCAACCCATCTCTGGGAAACATCCACACACACTCATTCACATACACACACTCATACACTACGGACAATTTAGCCTACTCAATTCACCTGTACCGCATGTCTTTGGACTGCGGGGGAAATTGGAGCACCCGGCGGAAACCCACCCCAATAAGGGGAGAACATGCAAACTCCACACTGAAATGCCAACAGACCCAGCTGGAACTCGAACCAGTGACTTTCTTGCTGTGAGGCGACAGTGTTGACCACTAGGCCACCATGCCGCCCACTTATGTAACCAGTGTTTCCATAATGTACTTTTAAATGTAATACGGTATATTACAGTATTGCGTTATTTCTTTAAAAGTAACTAAATGTGGTACTTGGTTAACTTAATCTTTACTTGCTCACCGTAGCACTTAATCTTTAAGGAAAATAATGTGTTATGTTACTTTTGTATTATCTTTATATTATTATTTTTTTTTGTGGGCTGGGCTTGCTTGTTAGTATTATCATATTTACAATATATGCATATTAAATGTATACATTAAAAATGTAAAGCTCTTTCTCACCAAAAGTGAAATGAGGAGGCTGGAAAAAATCTGTATTGAGGCACAGCTCAAACAAAACCTTTCTGGATTGCATAAAGAATAAGATGAATGGGGGAAAAAGATCAACACTTCAGCAATGCAATATATGATGAGTTTGCATTTCACACTTTATTAACTTTAGGGGTTACTGATGAATCCTGGATCTGTTTTTGTGCAAGTCAGATGATTAAACGTTCACATTTACACTAGATCTACCGTAAGTCTTTTGTTTAAACATTCTGCACAACACATCCACTCTGATTTCTCCTGATTTCTCTCAACAGTAAAGCAAAAAGCCAGTAATTAAGAAAACAAATGGCTTTATTATAGGAGGAAACAGTTATCTGAAATGAAAGGTCATACATTACTTGTAATATCTCCGCACTTTATCACGTCCTCCAACCCACCAGGGGGAGCAGATATTGCCCTATACTCTTCAACATTAGATGGCGGTAGTGACTCTTGCTCCCCTGAAATCAGCCTAATCACCACCTCCTGTTCTTTGCTCTATATAAGTATGCTTTGTATCCTGCTCTGTCTTTAATTAAATTATAATAGAAGGTAAAGAGAATAGAGTTAAATAAAACCAGGTATTAGAAGTAGTAAAGTCAAATCACTTTTATGTGTGCTATGATGAATGAAAAGCTCAGGTGCTGGCTGCAGACAGTACAAAATACAGACAGTGCAAATATAACGACAGTGCAAAATACAGACAGTACAAAGTAAAAGTAGAAGTAAAAGTAGGAGTAAGAGTACTATGGTGGTTATTATTATTATTGTATTAGTTTACATTGTAGTATTTGAGTAATATGGTTGTTATTATTATAACATAAGAGTAGGGGTAAGGTGTGTGTGTAAGTATGTATGAGTCTGTATGAGAAGGTGTGGGAAACCTCTCTGTAGAGAGATATTGTCTCTCTCTTTTTTGGTCAGATTTTCTTCAGCAAAGACTGTATTATTTTTGGGAATTCATAAGTTGTGGACTAACTTTGTTCCTCCTCTGCTCTTGAGCCACGAGTAGCTGACTTAGCTCATGTAGTAAGAACTACTGCTAACCACACCATAGACCTGGGTTCGATCCCCACTCAGATCATTACATTACTATACTGTAAAAAATATATAATTTTTCTTAGTAAAAAGTAGTAAACTTAATAAGTAAACTTATTGTAACTTGGAACAGTAAAGCTGATTTAAATTACTTTGTATAATTGTGTGGACAGTTGCTTAATGTTTAAGACATCAGGTTTTAGCCAAGTCTGTTAATTGTTTGTACAGTTTAGTTACTTGAAAAAGCACTTGAGAAAAATAACTTGCAATTTGCATAGCTTGTTGAGCTGCACGATTCTGGCTAAAATGAGAATCACAATTGTTTTTGCTTAAATAAAGATCACAATTTTCTCACGATTCTGTAGATGTAAAATAAAGATGAAGATATGAGTCGGCTATTATTATTGTTATTTCTCAAACATATGGTAAAACAACAATAATAATAGTATGTGTAGGTCTACTATTGTTTAAAATGCTCAATTTCGAATAGACATTGAATAGTGGACCTGAACAGACTTTGTCCTGTTCTTTTGTCCTAGTCATTAATGCACAGTAAAGTAAAGACATCAGAATACGACTATTCATAATGCTGTCGTTGAAATATTGTGTTTGAGACATGTGGTTGCAATCTGTCATTGACAACATTATTAGAACATTTATTCACTGGTAAAATTAGACATGTGTCATTATCAGATTTCCACTTGCATTATAATCAACATTATAGGCTACACTAGTTATACTGACACTGTTAAACAATTATCCTCTTGCGCAACACTTTGTTCGCTATAAAAGAAAAACATATCAAATGCTTGTCACAATCATAAATCAAAAATGCGGTATGATCATTTAAATGATGTGTGCTCTTTCAGGTTTCATTTTCACTGCTAAGAGCTGTTCATACTTCCCACGCGCCTCCTAAACGATCACTCTGTGCCACAAACTGAATGCTTATGCCGGTTCTGTTCACTAAAGTAGACGCGTGTAGGGTGTGTGCCCACCCTCTCTGTAGCTCATGGTCAACAGCTCACGTCACGTGGGATTTCTCGACCGCAAATACATCATTACATGAAGACAGAAATGATATTTTTTGCGTGAATTATACCTTATAAATACAGTATGTGACTCATTCAACACCATTTGGAGGTGTCCATGTCACTGAGAAACGTATATAATACATTGTGAAGACTTGTGCGGCTGCCGTTTCTTCCCTACTAAACATTAAAGTATGATTGGCAGAATCATAGAAATGCTGGATTAAGATCGTCTAGGAGGATCTTTTTTCGATAAATTGTGCAGCTCTAATACCTTGTTACATATAATGCATTACCCCCAACAGTTTTGCTAACTGTTCACCATTCACAACTATCAATGCATAAAATGAATCCAATACAGCCCCATTTATGATTGCTGTCCGGTGTCTGTATTTTTTGTGTACCATTCATGGCAACAGGACAATGCATGCCAGAAACATGAAGAAGTGTTCAAAAATATGCAGATTAATGAACCCAATGAAACATTAGCGATTCAATTTGGGAAAAAGCTGGTTCATGCTGCATCACCACCACACTGAAATGTATGTGAACTGGAGTTCTGGATGCTGGAATTATGGTACACTCAACAAAAAAAAAAAAAAAAAAAAAAAAAGAGTTTTTCTCTTTGATTAAAATTCTAAAACAACACAATTCTTCACATTTTTGGGGTGTTCAACTTAATTGTTTTATATTCAATCCACTTAAATTTATAAAAACTAGTAAGGTAACTGAAATCCTTTATGTTGTTTCAGTGCAAAACAATTGAGTGGAAGCCAACATTTTTTAGTGTACAAGATCACAGAAGTACCACAGACGACAGGAAATCAATCCCTCACTTTTTGAGAGGGGTCTGGATGCAGACCTGGGGCCTCATGAACGAAGACTTGCGTGGAAATAATACTAAAACATTGCGTACGCCGAATCTCACGCATATTCTTTTGTACATCCGAATGAACGTAAAACTGAGCGCAACATGCACGAGCACAAAACCCCTCCCTGCCTCGTCCTCCGTATGAATATGCTAATGACTCTACTTTGGCAAAACCCAACGAAAAAGCAAAGGCAAAAGCAAGCAAAAAGAGAAACTTTGAACAGAATGTGAATTGGAGGTGCTGCTTTCGGAGGTAGACCGAAAAAATGCAGTGTTATTTGCAAGTTTGTCCTCCGGAATTAACAACAAAAGAAAAAAATAGAGTGGGAGAGTTTAGCTGACGCGGTTAACACAGTTGGGTTTGAACATCGCACCAAGTGAATTAAAAGACAAATAGTGTGATTTAAAGGTGTAAAATGTTGCAATACCCTTAACGGTTTCAAGTGGCGCAGCTCGTAAGACGCATGTCAACATGTTTTGACACGTTCGAGCATGAACTCAGTTCGAATCCAGCGTCTGATGAACTCTTTCTTCTTTTTTTCCCCGCTACATATCAGATTTTGCCAACTATTTATCACAAGAAAGACAAGTAGGAATCTTTAAAAGGTTTGTCCATCATATTTTATTTGCACATTTATTGAATGGAAATGTTTCTGATTCACGCATGCAAATTCAACTTTAGATAGTGTCTTTATAGCAATGTGCGTGCAGCAGATAGCTCAGATTACATTGGGAAAACAAGCGACTGCTGCAAATTGTGCTTTAATGTTAAGCTGGTCAACTGTATGGTATGGAAACCTTATATACCTGCTAGATGAACCTGTCTCATACAGCTGCCATTGCAAGGCTCAGACACTTTGTAGAGAGAAATTTAACACAACTGCCTCTAGGAGTCGCCAATGGAAATAAAACAGACACGCACAAAAAATGTGCGTACGCCAGCCATAAAGCTGGCGTGGAGCTGCGCACATTCCCACGTTCAGTTCATGGTTAGTAAATCCAAACGTGAGCGATTCTGAGCGTGAAACCTGGCGTATGCAAAGTTTTTGTGCGTACGCAGCGTTGATACATGAGGCCCCTGGCGCAGTGCATTCTGAGCTGCATCCATTGCTTTTTAATGTGCTCACCTAACCCCAGCCCTAACAGTATCCGTCACAGTGACGTCACTCACTCCATTGAGTGCATTGTGTCTGACATTGCATCGCTGAGTGATGCAATCTAGCTTGCATCATGAAGGCTGCATCCAGATACTTTTGGACGTTTTGGCCATTCTGTGGAACAAAGCCAGTTGTTAAGTGGGTCATAATGTCATGGTGGCTCATTGGTGTGTAAACATTTGTCTATTCCCAGCTACTCTGAAACTAAAACTACTCATCTGGAGTGAAGCTATTGTTAACTCCAAAAGAAGCTGCGCTACAAGTTACTCCAGTGCAGCATTCCATGGTATGTTCATAGATAACAACCAGATAACAACAGCTGAAACTAATAACACAGGCTTATCAAGGTACTGTCCCTGTTCTTTTGTTCATTTTCATCATTCAAATTATTAAGAGGTCACCGGTTCTCTGTCTTTCTTCCTGGTGGCAAGAAAGCCTCAACTTCATTACAGTGCGATTTACCACTAGATGGCTGTAATACACTACTGCAGTATGTTCATTTTCTAGCCCTTTATTAATCCGGGATCGCCACAGCGGAATGAACCACCAACTTATCCAGCAAGTTTTTACGCAGCGGATGCCCTTCCAGCCGCAACCCATCTCTGGGAAACATCCGCACACACATTCACACCCACACTCATACACTACGGACAATTTAGCCTACCCAGTTCACCTGTACTGCATGTCTTTGGACTGCGGGGGAAATTGGAGTACCCGGCGGAAACCCACCCCAATAAGGGGAGAACATGCAAACTCCACACTGAAATGTGGACCAAACTGTTCAATCTTAGTTCCATCAGACCACAGGACATGTCTCCAAAAACTATTCTTTCCCCAGTGTAATTTAGCTAATTGGAATCTTCCTTTTTTTGTTGATTCTGGCTTGTTGATTTTCCCATGTTGTCAAACAAGGAAGCAGTGTGTTTGAGGTTTACCTTAAATACTATTCTACAGTTGTGCCTCTAATTAACTCAAGTGTTGTCAATTAGCCAATCAGAAACTTCCAAAACCTTGACACCATCATCGGAGCTTTTTTAGAGGCAAAATAATCTTATTGCATGTAAATTTGACTTTCAAGAAAAGTTATAACAATTTCTCAAAAACTGTAAACCCCCCCACCACACACACACTTAGCTAATGCAGCCCTTATTTACATGTTTGGTGTAAGATTGCAGAAGAACGGTTTGACTAAAAATTTACTGTTTTTCTTACAGTCATACTGATAATTGATTTTTAATCATTTGGTAGAACTACAGTTAGAACTGCTAACGTGGAGACTGACACGGAGGGATCCATTATGCAGTATTTATTAGTCACACTCTTAATCACACACACAATATGCACTACCGTGCAAACACACAACAATAACAGTCTATGATGAATAAAGACTGGGAGTGAATAGACACAGAGGGTGTTACCAGGCATAGATCGAGGGCAGGCTGCAAGTATCAGAGTCCGTGAATCAGGCTTGGGTCGTGGGCAGGCAGCAAATGTCAGAGTCCGTATAACAGGCGTGGTTCGTGGGCAGGCAGCGAGTATCAGAGTCCGTATAATAAAGCGTGGGTCGTGGGCAGGCAGAAGGCAAAGCAGAGTCAAGAGCAGGCCGGAGTAATACACAAGGAGTCAGGCAGGAATAACGTTCAGAAATGCTGGCCGGGGCTAAACAAGACTTCGCACTGAATGAGCGTTTGGTGCTGGCTTATAAAGGGTACGTGGGTCATTAACGGGATTCAGTTCAGGTGTGCATGATCAGTGTAAATGGATGATGTAGTGCTTAGAAGTCCGGAGATGGTGGCCTCTGCTGGCCAGCGAGGGGAATGACTGGGACCGAGTCGGTGACAGCTATAGTTAAATCCCATTTTTACATGTACACATCTGGGGCTTACAGAGAATGGTCTGAAAAGAGAAAATGTTCAGTCTGTGGTAGTTCTATGGGTAAAAAAATTGCTTAGTTGATGCCAGAGGAGAACGGGTAGTTGATTTCTGCATGATTGGAACATTTATTTGTTAGAATTATTTGTTTATTTTTTTCAAATGTGTTTTATGAGAACAGAGCAAAGTGTATTTCTCTTTTGACACAGGGAACGCGACAGCTATATATATAAATATACACACATACAATTGTTCAGTTTTGTTTAAACACTTCCTTTGCTGTCAGGTTAAGAAACGCAGTTAAAGTTGATGTAAATTTTATTTCCATATTTTTGGAAATATGCAAATAATGCTTGCTGTGTCACTCAACGGAAATGCTTTTGTCTCACACATATAAGAGAAGTGTTTAAAAAAATTGTCACACTTTACAAAAAGGATTCATTAGATAATGTATTTACTAACAAGAACTAAATATGAACAATATTCGTACAGCATTTATTAATCTTAGTTTAACATTTACTAATGTCTTAGCAAAAGTTAACATTAGTTAATTAGCTCAGTTTACATGAGCTAAGAATGAATGACTGTATTTAACATCAACAAAGATGAAAAAATACTGTAATGAATGTGCTGTCCATTGTCTGCTCATATTGGAAAATTCTTCACCCAAAGTAACTAATACAACCATATTGTAATGTGTTAATAAAAATATCTAAATAAATATGTGCTACATTTCCATTGCTGATTGTCCATGTATTCAGACGTTAGACATGAACTGACCATCTTAAAAAAGAAATTGTGAGAGAACTGCTGACGTTGTTCCAAAGAAAACATGTTCATGGAAATGTTTTCCCTTGAACAAAATGCAAATTGATGCATCAAAAAAAAAAAAAGTACTCTCTAAAGTATCTCTAAATATTTTCTGTGCAGTTTAATTGGTTTCAAAGACACTTTTAAACATAACAAGCGAATAACTAATTTCCTATAAATAATTTATTTTGTCTTTGCAAGGATGACAGTGCACATTAATTTATGGGTTATTTTGCAAGATACTATAGTGTCCAGCTTAAAGTGCAATTTAATGGTTAAAAAAAAGTTAATTATGTTAACTAGGCAAGTCATTTGACAGCAGTGGTTTGCTCTGTGAATAGAAAAGTTCGATATAATTTTTTAAGGGGGTTAATAATAGTAAACTAACTTTCTCCAGAAGAAAAATATAATTGGAAAAACTGAAAGTTTGTTTGATCCTCCCATGTTAAACAGCACTTGATACAGCTAATAATTTTGCCTTGATTTGTACATCTTAATACTAAATGATTATCTGTCAATGCAGTCACTAATCAATGCTACCAGACTCAGTCGGGGGACCAGTTCTGCTTTGCTTTAAGTCTGAAATAATGAGTAAAAGTATCAAGTGAGGTTTCAATTTTGCCCAGACAAGCACCTACTACTAGACTTTCGCAGTAGCTGGTCCTACTTTGTGGAATGCTCTGCCCCTCTGTATTAGGTATATATCATCGCTGTCTGTTTTTAAATCTAGGTTGAAAACTTACCTTTTTGATTTGGCATTTTATCAGTGAGAATTGTTTGTTTTTAGCTATAATAACCAGAGCCGGCCCAAGGCATAAGCGAACTAAGCGGCTGCTTAGGGCCCCGTGGCCACCAGGGGGCCCCCAAGAGTGCTTGAAATTTTTGTGTGACTTTTTCGTTTTAGTTTGTTGAGTTGTGGATTAGTGGTGGGACAAAATATATGCCCATTATAGTGTTTATTTCTGACCGCGATACATACTCAGGCGCCAAGATATTTACCTAAATTTTACAAAAGATCTGATTTAATTAGTTTTCCACACGGACTGCAGCAGATTACCGCTTTAGCTACAGTACACCCAGCCGCCACCAGGTGGCGCTTCCGTAATGGCAGATCATAAGACATACACCAGCGTCATGTAAACCACTGACAAATGAGCCATTGCAATGGTGAAAATCTCAGGCATACAGACACAAGTAGTCAAAATGGGTAAGGCATGTTTGTGCCTTTTGTTTGTGGCAAGTAGTCATATAAAAAGTTGGATTTATAGGAAGTTGTTTCTGCAGAATAATGTTTAGAATAGTCTTAAAACATATATTTTAAGATGTAAGCAACACAGCTACAGTGAAAAAAAATCGATAATGTCAGTTTTTATTTATAGTGTGCAAATTATCAAGGATTGACGATAATTTGTCATATTGTTTGCACCAAGGGGGCCCCAAATAAAATCTTGCTTAGGGCCCCCTGAAGGCTTGGGCCGGCCCTGATAATAACTATTAGTGAGATTTGGTTGTTTTTACCTATATTAACTATTTGTGAGAATTGTTTGTTTTAGCTATAATTTTATACTTGTTCTTTGTGATATATTGTTCAGCACATTGGTCAACCTTTGGTTGTGTTTAATAGTGCTATATAAATAAAATTGACATTGACATTGACACACTGGAATTGAAGGATTTTTACGAAAAGCCTGTGAGCGTGTATATTGGCCAGGCATGAATGGCCAATTGAAAACATATAAAGAACAATCCAGCATCTGCTCAGCATGGGGTGTAAAACACCAGAAAGAAACCCTCAGGCCACACAAAGAGCTAACTCAACCCTGGGTAAAGATTGGAACAGACTTATTTCATTGTAATGGCAGAGATTTGATCACAGCGGATAACTTGGATCTGTCTATTTTTTTTTCTTTTTTGGAAAGTGGATCCTTTGTAAAACACAATGTAATACTATCATATGCAAATTCAAAGCACACATTGTAAGATATGGAATTTCAGACATAATGTTTTCAGACAATAGACCCCAGTATTCATCAGAGGAATTCAAGAAATTTAGCAAAGCATGGGACTTAAAACCTCCTCGCCAGAAAATCCACAGAGAGAAAAGTGCAGTCAGCATTGAGAAGTGCAGAGAAACTGAAGGCCAAAGGCAATGGCACTGATAGGATGACACATGTCAAAGTTCACTTCGTCCAGGAGTTATTTCATCTAAACAAGAAACTTGATGATGATTCACCAGAAGTGAAAGAGACAGGTAAAGTGTCACCAGAACAATGGTCACCACTGTTGAAACAAAAGGGGAACAGCCCATCACCATGACATATTCCCTGTTCAAGATAGGCTTACTGGAAGGCCTGCATACCTAAAAGACTTTGAATGACTTCGCAGAACAGTTAATAAGTTATTTAATTAGACTGGATTGCAATCTGGGATAAAAGGGGAACACATACCTAAAACACAAAAAACAAACTTGGCTGGGCTGGCAGGGATAAGGACAAGACAAAGCATTCTGAAACTTCACTCCCTTTATTTCAGCATGACAGTTACACTACTATAGTGTGGGGACGGTCTGAACAGTTTCAGGCCATTTAATCGTTTAAAGTCTTAAAATAACTTATTTTGCATCATTGAAGTTTGTTATCTTCAATATATAAAATCCAAATGTTGGATGACAGCTAAATATCACAACGGACATACCTGGAGGTGTTTTCCCCCACCTACCTGAGTACACAACATCGACACTTTAAAACCTGTGAAACTTCCTGATAGCTGACAGTATCAAGTCTGTGGTAAGTAAAAACCTTTTCTGCATTCATCAGCTTGATGTTTTCTTCTTGATTGTATATTTTATTTATGAAATGGACCGTAATGTAGATCATGGCTACTGAGATAACAGATTGTAATAAAGCAGTTTGCCAAAAGCTTGATGCTTTTATGATTTATTTGTAAAAACTGCAATAAAATCCATCAGTATAGAATAAATATTTGTAGAGTTAATATATATTTTTCCATCATTCTAATATGCTGATTTAAAATTTGTAGAAACACTTTATTTTGATTGTCCATTTGAGTATTAGTAGACTGTCTGCTTAATATCTGCTGATGCTGCTCCTTCAACAGACATTTAACTGACTATAAGAAACTTTGCAAGTACATGTCAACTTACACTAACCCTAACCTAACAGCCTACTTATAATCTAATGAGAATTGGTTGGCATGAAGTTGCAGTGTAACTTAAATTCAACAAACGGACCATCAAAATAAAGTGTGACCATATTTCATATTAATTCTTCTTATTATTTTTTTAAGGATTCACAGAAAGTTTAAAACTACTTTTTTTAACAATTACGTTTTAATTTAATTTAAAATGTACAAACTGGATTAAAAATCTTAATGTATTTAAACTTTCAGTGACTACCCTTGCAAGTTTGCAAAAAACATATAAAGTAGTTTATAAGCAGCGTTGCAACTGAAACATTATAATAAACTAATCTTGATATTGTTGGAAAGCGTGCAGGAATTTATTGACTTTTTGTCCTTTCATACACACACACACACACACACACACGCGCACGCACGCGCACACACACCGATCCAGCACTTCCAGCTGTTCTGTGATAATTCATTTAAATTAAAAGTAAATTATAAGCTTAACGATTAACTTCAAATTAAACCGACAACATTTGCTTTTGTTGTTGCAAAGCATGTTAACACAGTCTATATGACTTGACTAATGGCATGAAAAAGTTATTTAAAACAGTATATTATTTTATATTGCGGTGCAAATTTACATGCATATTTAGGCCCAATCCCAATTCTACCCCTTAGTCCTTCCCCTTACCCCTACTCCTCACAGCCATATCACCCAGCAGCCCAAGACCGGCTACTCTCTGAAGCTAAGCAGGGCTGAGCCTAGTCAGTACCTGTATGGGAGGCCACTAGGGAACACTAGGTTGCTGTTAGAAGTGGTGTTAGTGAGACCAGCAGGGGGTACTCAACCTGTGGTCTGTGTGAGTGCTAATGCCCCAGTAAAAGTGAAGGGGACACTACACTGTCAGTGGACGCCGTCTTTCGGATGAGACGTTAAACCGAGGTCCTGACTCTCTGTGGTCATTAAAAATCCCAAGGCACTTTTCGTAAAAGAGCAGGGGTGTAACCCCGGTGTCCTGGCCAAAGTCCCTCTATCGGATCATACGATCATGGCCTCCCAATCATCCCCTTCCACCGAATTGGCTCTATCACTGTCTCTCCACTCCACCAATAGCTGGTGTGTGGTGAGCGCACTGGCGCTGTTGTCCAGTGGCTGCCGTCGCATCATCCAAGTGGATGCTGCACACTGGTGGTGGTGTGGAGAGACCCCCCCTCATGATTGTGAAGCGCTTTGGGTGTATGGCCATACATAATAAATGAGCTATATAGATACACATTACATTACTCCTCGTTTTACGCGTTCCTGTGAAGAGGGTGTCCCAGTTCTCTTTAGCTTGAAGGCGTAGGGCTAAGGGGAAGTGGAAAATAGCCCTCCGATAAAGATTTTTCAGGACCACACTCGAAACCAAAAGCTAAGAAAATTTCCAGCCACAAAGGCACCTGGAAGTAAGGAGATCCACAAATTAGTATTTTTTAGTCATTATTTCGAATTTTTACAACAAACATGTTTTAATATATTCATAACCACGTTCGTGTTTTACCGTCATGCTTTTATAAAAAACTGCTAAAATATAAACCGAAAAATGTTGCGATCTATAATCCCTAATCATAACTCCTGTATCACAGTTCTACAACATTCTGACACTCAATGACACTCGAATACCCTTTCAGAAAAGTCTAGTGGCTGGGATTCATCTTTTAACAGTGCTACAATGTTAATGTTGTTTTTGTGTTTACACAGATAAAAATGGCCACTGTGTAAATGCGCAATATAGTTACGATCTTATTGCCATATAATATCATTATGATAACATAATATGTGCCTTCAGTGATTTCCTGAAGATAAATATCAAAAAATAAAGCAACTGGAATAACTACAGCAGTCGCCCTTATCTGATTTCATATGAAGCATGAGATTGCGATGGGGGTAAATTTTGAAGTCCTTCCCCTTCACACTCGATTTTAATAGCCAAAGGGAAGGGGTAGGGGTACAAAAATAGAACTGGGACTGGGCATTAAAATCAGATGTGCAGTTTTAAAAGGCTGACAATAACCCCACGGAATGATCTAATTTTTAATAAAAGATTTACATTTTTATTTGCATTAGATCCAGTAGTCTAGAATGTAAAGCATCATACAGTAGGTGCTGTTCAGATAGCGTGCAGTCTTAGTTTTGATAGCCAAATCATCTGCCTGAGGATAAAAATATGAAAAGATGTCTAGCCCAATCTCTAATCTACACACTAATAATGCTGTCTGCTTACAGAAAATACCACGTCATCATCATCATCATCATCATCATGGGATTGTTTCTGGTTTTACCTCATCTGCTGGTGTTCATATCAGTGTTTTCTCTCAGTAAGGTTTTGCTGATAATCTAAATGTGTGACCAGTACGGTGACCGAGATGATTAAAATGCTGCAATGTAAGGAAACACATGCAATTACAAAAAAGCCGAGAGGGGTCTGGATGCAGACCTGGTGCAGTGCAATCTGAGCTGCATCCAATGCTTTTTAATGCGCTCACCTAACCCCACCCCTAACCCTACCCATTACAGTGATGTCACTCACTCCATTAAGTGCATTGTGTCTGAGATTGCATCGCTGAGTGATGCAATCTCAGCTTGCATCATAAAGGCTGCATCCACATACTATTGGAAAAGCCAGCAATTTAAGAAAAGATCTTCCTCCATTTGGCAGCATACATGCTGGAAATCTCCAAAACGCATACACATTAAAAAAACGCACTGTATTTTCAGACAACGCAAACAATTTACTAAAAGGCCTGCATTTTCTCACAACACTTGCAAAAATGTCAGAACACAATGGAAATGCTTTAAGGGGACCCTAAAACGTGACAGAAGCTACTGTGTCGTGACTATTGTTCAGTGAAGTTGTTGGGTGAACTTTGAAAAGTGAGATTTTGTTTGTTTGTTTTGACATCCTGATTCTCTTGTCTTTTGTATTTTATTAGCCTAAATAACCAGAACCTAAATAGCCGAGTCCGTCATGTTTTAGGGTCCCCTTGAAACATTTCCGTTGTGCTCCATGCTATTTGAAAGTGTGTGAAAATGCAGTGTGTTTTATTAATTTGTAAATGCTGTGTGAAATAGCACCACATTTTTTTAATTTGCTTGCGTTGTGAGAAAATCCAGTGAGTTTTTAAAAATGTGCTTGCGATGTGAGGATTTGCAGCACGTGTGCTGTCAAAACGGATGAAGATCTTTTCTTAATTTGTTGTTTTAGGGTGCTTTCACACATAGACTTTTGTTTCGGAACCTGTCTTGTTTGCCCAGTTAGCGTGGTTCATTTGGCATATGTGAAACCAGCAATCGCGCTCGGATTCGAGGCAAATCAATCGGTCCAAGATCGCCTGAATGAGGTGGTCTTGGCTCGATTAAAACGAACTCTGGAGCAGATTGATTGTGGTGAGAAAGCAAAACGATCCGAGCCTGGCTATATCACCGTGTATTATGGATATGGAATAGGCATACGGCTATATAAAGAGAGAATTATGAGTAGGGCAGGAGGTCATTCCTACCAATAAATGTGCGTTTCATGTTAAATGTGAAAGTGAAAGCATGTTAACAATTAACAGAAGCTGTTTTTCCGTTAGGAACATTGATCGCACTGTAGTGTAGCCAAGGGCTCTGTATGAAAGAGTCTTACCTCTGATTTATATCTGTAACGATGTCTGAGGGCATTCAAAAATAAAGCGCAGCTTACCGCTTACAATGTCTTATTGCCCATCGCCATAAATTAAAATAAGGATGCATGACAGCTGAGTGGGACTCTCTGCAAAATAAACCATGAAACTCTGACCAATGTAAGAAGAGTTAACTCAGTCACATGTGACTTGTTTTAGCTTATTTGGTCCATGGTTCGTGTGAAAGCGAACCGCACCAAGAACAAAGAGCAACACTCCAACAATTATAATCACTGGTTTGGAACAAATGAATCGATTCACAGGTGTGAAAGCACCCTGAATTTGTGTTTTTTTAAATCGCATCACGTTAAGCTCTCTCGGTCACCGTAGATCAGTCCTAATGTGACAAGGACATTAAAAATACAGAGATGTATTTCTGGATGTAATGATCACACTCTCTTCAACAGCCAGAACACAAACATCTACACCATCAACATCTGTAACAACACCGGCAGGTAAATCTTGACCAAGAAATCAGTAGCGGTTCTAGACTAGTAACTCAGTTGCAATACACATTTTTACTTTTTATGTAAACAACTTTTTAAAAAAAACATGACATAATGTAAATAAGTTGTCATTTAATAAGAATATGAGAATAACTCAATTTTGACAAAAATGTCAGATAGCACATTATAATTCTAAGGTGACGAATTGTTTAAAATTACTTTAAACTTGTATAAAAATTTGTTTAATATCTACTATGAGATACTACGAGAAAAAAAATACTTAAAATACTAATCTTAAAATAGTATTAAAATACCCCGTTAAGTTACTTTACAATTAGTAATATCAGCATATAGAATTTCAAGTGATAATAGTCCGGCTGCTATTGCAAAACGACAAAGAAAAAAACAATATGCTTATATACAAATCAACAACTGACCTGAAAATGTGTCCCAGTCCGCCCCTGCTCTTAGAATGATAATAGCTGTTCTTAAAACAGCTATAATTTTAGCTACTATTAAAGCCATTGCACAAACTGAAAATCTATATGGACAACCTGTTAATGTATGGTGCAGTTTTGTCAGTAATGTGCCAAGCATGAAGCACAATCAGTGGTTATTTTACTGTCACGTCAGCATGAGTTCACCACCAGAGGTCATCATCGACCCGCTTCATTTTTATTCTTAATATTTTTTTCTCCCTCTTTTTTTCTAAGCAGGATCAGGAATCTTCTACCCTTTCGGTTTATCAGCAGGAGACTCAAAAAATACTGCTGCTGATGATGCAAGCTCCTCTGCTATTACACTGTTGAGCCCCTTTCTGTTCTTTGGACGAACATACCAGCAGATTTACGTAAGAATTTGATTTCATTTTGTCTCATTGTGTGCATGAGGGTTTTAGATGCTTTATAAATTAATTTGTGATTTGGAGATAAAAAATCTCTGGTTGTGATTTTAACAGTATTTCTCCTGTATCAGGTTAATAATAATGGACACCTCACATTCAGCCAGGCTTCTTCACAATATGTTCCCTACTCATTTCCTGCTAATGGAAGTAGGGATATTATTGCTGGATTCTGGGCTGACCTTAATAACGGAGCAAGTGGAGTCATCTCTTATCATCAATACAGTAATGGAAGTGTTCTCACTCGCACCACTCAGGATATCAACAATTATTTCCCAAATCTGCCCTTCACTGCTTCTTGGGTTTTTGTTGCAACATGGGATAAAGTACCGTACCTTTCCTCTACAGCAGTAAGATCAACACACTTCTGAAATGTTCATGTTTTCACTTTATGCATGATTTAATTTAAAAAAATACTTTAAGACATAAGATAATATAAAGTAACAAGTGCAGAACGATGTCTGTCATATGTGCTGCTCATACATATTGAACACTTTAGCAACGGTTTTCTTATTCATTAATTTTATTATTATTATTTCAGGAAACATCTTTTCAAGTGGCTTTAATCTCAGGCAGTAATTATTCATTTATTCTGATGAATTATGGAAATATTGCTGCAACAGGACGTACAGTGGAGGTAAAAGAAACTTTTCTGTAATGAGAACAAAACATTACTATTTACTACAGTATAAAAGTTTGTGCACTGTTTGTCAACTGTTTACATCAATATTGTTTGATATACTTTCAGACTGGTTATGACACAATAAACTCCACAAACTACTTTGTGATTCCTGGATCAAATAATGGGAGCTCCGTCTCAAACCTTAACACCTCCAGTAATGTCAATGTTCCAGGCCGATGGGCCTTCAGGGTGGACGGTGGACCATCGACAGGTATAAGTACAGAACACAGGTTTGAGATCATGACTCGACCATTTATTTGACAGCAGGGCATCTATCAGTGTTTATGACACAATTTCATTTAAATTTCATTCATTCGTTCATGTTCTTTTGGGCTTAGTCCTTTTATTAATCAGGGGTCGCCACAGCAGAATGAACCACCAACTTATCCAGCATATGTTTTACGTAGCGGATGCCCTTCCAGCTGCAATCCATCACTGTGAAACATCCATACACCCTCATTCACACACATACACTATGACCAGTTTAGCTTACCCAACTCACCTAGAACACATGTTTTTGAACTTGTGGGGGACACTAAAGCACCCGGAGGAAACCCACAACAACACAGGGAAAACATGCAAACTCCACACAGAAATGCCAACTGACCCAGCCACGCTAGGGCTTGAACCAGGGACTTTCTTGCTGTGAGGCGATTGTGGTACCCACTGCACCACCGTGCTGCCCTTCACTTAAGTTACAATACAATAAAAGAGATCTCAAAATATTGAATATTATTAACAAGCTGCTGCTTATATCATAACACAATAGCTTTACGTGAGCAAATGAATTAACAAACAAGTATGTACTAACAAGTTATGTAGGTATCTGTTATTCACAAATGAACTCAAGTGACTCATGTTGTAGTTAAAGTTCAGGATTAGCACATTAACTCATCATTAGTTCATATAATAATGTAATGTTTAGTTTACATATTAACACATTATTTCTCATGTACTTTTATTGTAAAGTGTTACCATATTATTATTAGGTAGTAATAGTATTAGTTGTTATATTGTTGTTAGACTGTTATTAAATTTGTCAAAGTTTTTAAACACAAAATACGCAGAAAACCAAATAGTAAAAAGGGTAAACAGAAATTTAAACCTAATAAACTGGCAGCGTAATTGTCTAAAACTAGTATTAACTTGTATAAAAATCTGTTCAACGCTAAAAGGGACAACACAGTAGCTCAGAGATCAGCACTGTTGCCTCAAAGCAAGAAGGTCGCTGGTTCGAAAAAAAAATACTATGAAAATACCACGTTAAGTTACTTTACAAATAATAATATCAGCATATAGAATTTCAAGTGATAATAGTCGGGCTGCTATTGCACATATTTTGACAGATATTAGCGCAAAACGACAAAGAAAAATCAATATGCCTATTTACAAAATAACTGACCTGAAACTGTGTCCCAGTCCGCTCCTGCTCTTAGAATGATAATAGGTGTTCTTAAAACAGCTATAATTTTAGCTACTATTAAAGCCATTGCACAAACTGCAAATCTATATGGACAACCTGTTAATGAATGGTGCAGTTTTGTCAGTAATGTGCCAAGCATGAAGCACAATCAGTGGTTAAATATTTTACTGTCACGTCAGCATGAGTTCACCACCAGAGGTCATCATCGACCCGCTTCATTTTTATTCTTAATATTTTTTTCTCCCTCTTTTTTTTCTAAGCAGGATCAGGAATCTTCTACCCTTTCGGTTTATCAGCAGGAGACTCAAAAAATACTGCTGCTGATGATGCAAGCTCCTCTGCTATTACACTGTTGAGCCCCTTTCTGTTCTTTGGACGAACATACCAGCAGATTTATGTAAGAATTTGATTTCATTTTGTCTCATTGTGTTCATGAGGGTTTTAGATGCTTTATAAATTAATTTGTGACTTGGAGATAAAAAATCTCTGGTTGTGATTTTAACAGTATTTCTCCTGTTTCAGGTTAATAATAATGGACACCTCACATTCAGCCAGGCTTCTTCACAATATGTTCCCTACTCATTTCCTGCTAATGGAAGTAGAGATATTATTGCTGGATTCTGGGCTGACCTTGATAACAGAGCAAGTGGAGTCATCTCTTATCATCAATACACTAATGGAAGTGTTCTCACTCGCGCCACTCAGGATATCAACAATTATTTCCCAAATTTGCCCTTCACTGCTTCTTGGGTCTTTGTAGCATCATGGGATAAAGTACCGTACCTTTCCTCTACAGCAGTAAGATCAACACACTTCTGAAATGTTCATGTTTTCACTTTATGCATGATTTAATTAAAAAAATACTTTAAGACATAAAATAATATAAAGTAACAAGTGCAGAACGATGTTTGTCATATGTGCTGCTCATACATATTGAACACTTTTTTCAATGGTTTTCTTATTCATTTATTTTATTATTAATATTTCAGGAAACATCTTTTCAAGTGGTTTTAATCTCAGGCAGTAATTATTCATTTATTCTGATAAATTATGGAAATATTGCTGCAACAGGACGTACAGTGGAGGTAAAAGAAACTTTTCTGTAATGAGAACAAAACATTACTGTTTACTACAGTATAAAAGTTTGTGCACTGTTTGTCAACTGTTTACATCAATATTGTTTGATATACTTTCAGGCTGGTTATGACACAATAAACTCCACAAACTACTTTGTGATTCCTGGATCAAATAATGGGAGCTCCGTCTCAAACCTCAACACCTCCAGTAATATCAATGTTCCAGGCCGATGGGTCTTCAGGGTGGACGGTGGACCATCGACAGGTATAAGTACAGAACACAGGTTTGAGATCATGACTCGACCATTTATTTGACAGCAGGGCATCTATCAGTGTTTATGACACAATTTCATTTAAATTTCATTCATTCGTTCATGTTCTTTTGGGCTTAGCCCTTTTATTAATCAGGGGTCGCCACAGCAGAATGAACCGCCAACTTATCCAGCATATGTTTTACGTAGCGGATGCCCTTCCAGCTGAAACCCATTACTGTGAAACATCCATACACCCTCATTCACACACATACACTATGACCAGTTTAGCTTACCCAATTCAACTAGACCACATGTTTTTGAACTTGTGGGGGACACTAAAGCACCCGGAGGAAACCCACAACAACACAGGGAGAACATGCAAACTCCACACAGAAATGCCAACTGACCCAGCCAAGCCAGGGCTTGAACCAGGGACTTTCTTGCTGTGAGGCGATTGTGGTACCCACTGCACCACCGTGCTGCCCTTCACTTCAGTTACAATACAATAAAAGAGATCTCAAAATATTGAATATTATTAACAAGCTGCTGCTTATATCATAACACAATAGCTTTACGTGAGCAAATGAATTAACAAACAAGCATGTACTAACAAGTTATGTAGGTATCTGTTATTCACAAATGAACTCAAGTGACTCATGTTGTAGTTAAAGTTCAGGATTAGCACATTAACTCATCATTAGTTCATATAATAATGTAATGTTTAGTTTACATATTAACACATTATTTCTCATGTACTTTTATTGTAAAGTGTTACCATATTATTATTAGGTAGTAATAGTATTAGTTGTAATATTGTTGTTAGACTGTTATTAAATTTGTCAAAGTTTTTAAACACAAAATAAGCAGAAAACCAAATAGTAAAAAGGGTAAACAGAAATTTAAACCCAATAAACTGGCAGCGTAATTGTCTAAAACTAGTATTAACTTGTATAAAAATCTGTTCAACGCTAAAAGGGACAACACAGTAGCTCAGAGATCAGCACTGTTGCCTCAAAGCAAGAAGGTCGCTGGTTCGAAAAAAAAAATACTATGAAAATACCACGTTAAGTTACTTTACAAATAATAATATCAGCATATAGAATTTCAAGTGATGGTAGTCGGGCTGCTATTGCACATATTTTGACAGATATTAGCGCAAAACGACAAAGAAAAATCAATATGCCTATTTACAAAATAACTGACCTGAAACTGTGTCCCAGTCCGCTCCTGCTCTTAGAATGATAATAGCTGTTCTTAAAACAGCTATAATTTTAGCTACTATTAAAGCCATTGCACAAACTGCAAATCTATATGGACAACCTGTTAATGAATGGTGCAGTTTTGTCAGTAATGTGCCAAGCATGAAGCACAATCAGTGGTTAAATATTTTACTGTCACGTCAGCATGAGTTCAGCACCAGAGGTCATCATCGACCCGCTTCATTTTTATTCTTAATATTATTTTCTCCCTCTTTTTTTTCTAAGCAGGATCAGGAATCTTCTACCCTTTCGGTTTATCAGCAGGAGACTCAAAAAATACTGCTGCTGATGATGCAAGCTCCTCTGCTATTACACTGTTGAGCCCCTTTCTGTTCTTTGGACGAACATACCAGCAGATTTATGTAAGAATTTGATTTCATTTTGTCTCATAGAGTGCATGAGGGTTTTAGATGCTTTATAAATTTTATTTGTGACTTGGAGATAAAAATTCCCTGGTTGTGATTTTGACAGTATTTGTGATGTTTCAGGTTAATAATAATGGACACCTCACATTCAGCCAGGCTTCTTCACAATATGTTCCCTACTCATTTCCCGCTAATGGAAGTAGGGATATTATTGCTGGATTCTGGGCTGACCTTGATAACAGAGCAAGTGGAGTCATCTCTTATCATCAATACACTAATGGAAGTGTTCTCACTCGCACCACTCAGGATATCAACAATTATTTCCCAAATCTGCCCTTCACTGCTTCTTGGGTCTTTGTAGCATCATGGGATAAAGTACCGTACCTTTCCTCTACAGCAGTAAGATCAACACACTGAAATGTTCATGTTTTCACTTTATGCATGATTTAATTAAAAAAATACTTTAAGACATAAGATAATATAAAGTAACAAGTGCAGAACGATGTCTGTCATCTGTGCTGCTCATACATATTGAACACTTTAGCAATGGTTTTCTTATTCATTTATTTTATTATTATTATTTCAGGAAACATCTTTTCAAGTGGTTTTAATCTCAGGCAGTAATTATTCATTTATTCTGATGAATTATGGAAATATTGCTGCAACAGGACGTACAGTGGAGGTAAAAGAAACTTTTCTGTAATGAGAACAAAACATTACTGTTTACTACAGTATAAAAGTTTGTGCACTGTTTGTCAACTGTTTACATCAATATTGTTTGATATACTTTCAGGCTGGTTATGACACAATAAACTCCACAAACTACTTTGTGATTCCTGGATCAAACAATGGGAGCTCCGTCTCAAACCTCAACACCTCCAGTAATGTCAATGTTCCAGGCCGATGGGTCTTCAGGGTGGACGGTGGACTACCGACAGGTATGAGTACAGCTCACAGGTTACGGTCAGTTAATTATTATAGAAAAATGTTGTCACGCTTTTTTTTCAGCCAGTGTTGTTTCATGTCTCAGCACAACTGTTATGTTAATTTTCATTTCACTACACTCAAAACATATTTTTTTACTTGTTCAAACTACTTAATTAAAATGAGCTGAAACAACACAATTCTTGAGATTTCATTGGGACAACTTAATTTTTTTATGTTCAATCCACATAAATTTGTTAAAAGTGTTTAGTTAACTTAATCGATTTGTGTTAGGACAACATGAATGAATTGTGTGGAACCCTGCCCTTTACAGTGCAGAAACCAACATAAATTGGTTTTAAATGGCTTTTAATTGGCTCGCATGGTTCAGGATTGGTAGAGCTACGCATCGATGAATTTGCTCTTCAGTGTTTGAACTCTCAGTAATGATTAAACCACACTGAACTGAGCTAAACTGAACTGAACTTAAACACTAAAAACTATATTGTTCCAGATACTATGACCATTTATGTGAAGCTGCTTTGACACAATCTACATTGTAAAAGCGCTATACAAATAAAGCTGAACTGAATTGAATAAATGTAAAAATAAAATAAAAAAATAAACTATCGTTAGTATGTTTGGGGCGTCACGGTGGCACGGTGGGTAGCACGATCACCTTACAGCAAAAAGGTCGCTGGTTCGAGCCTTAGCGGGGTCAGTTGGCATGTCTGTGTGGAGTATGCATGTTCTCACCGTGATCATGTGGGATTCCTCTAGATGCTTTGGTTTCCCCAACAGTCCAAAGACATGCGCTATAGGTGAATTGGCTAAGCTAATATTGTCTGTAGTGTATGTGTTGGTGAATGAGTGTGTATAGATGTTTCCTAGTGATTGGTTGCAGTTGGAAGGTCATCCGCTGTGTAAAACATATGCTGGATAAGTTGGCGGTTCATTCCGCTGTGGCAACCCTTAGATCAATAAAGGAACTAAACCGAACAGAAAATGATTGATTGAATGAACAGTATGTGTGTATTGTTAGTCACAATATATGTGTGTTTTTGTTTATGTTTTGATATGTATATGTGTGTTATGTATATGTTTTCCCACACAGTATGTGTTTCCCTTTAGCTCGTTGGCTGAGAATGGTCAAACATGCTGGAATTAAGAAAAACACATGCATATGTATCCATAACAAATTGAGAAAACATCAACTTGACTAAACACAAGCAGATACAGAAATACTGAACACATGTTGATGACCTTTTCTCAGTTACTGATCTATGTGTTTTTATAAGAAGATATAAAAGGTAAATCTATAATAAGAACTATAGTATTGACTATAAATTACTATAGTATGTATTAATGTGGTCTGTAACTATTAATTGTTTAATAGTAGGAAGAACAAAAACTATGGAAGTCAATGGATACAGGATTCCAGCTTTCTGTATGATAAACCAATTATTTACAAATTAATGCAAATTACTATACAAAAGAATCATGAATATGCAAATTACCCCGTCTCCACTCCTCTCCACTTACCTGGTTATACACTGCCTGCGCCACTTTTACTTGGTTAACAGAAGTAAACTTTGAAGTAAACATGAACCAATTCAAGTGGCAGTCTTGGTTTAACCAGCCTGATGTCATGAGGAAAAGTAACTATTATTCATTTAGTCAGTTTAACAGATAAGGAGGCATGGCATCAAACCCCACCCCTAAACCCAACCGCCATTGGGGTATGAGCAAATTGTACTAAAATGTATGAACGAGATTGAACAAATGTATCCCAATTAGCCACTAAATCAAAAACTTATGAATTGGCATAAAATATGGGCATCCTCTAAACACTTATAAGAATATTTTGAATTAAATTTGATGCACAACCTAGGATATACCAAGCATAAATGTAAGAAATATGTGAATGCTGAAAGTACTGCACAGTTACAAAAGAAGATGAACATTTTCACAATGCTAATAAAATACCTACAAAAAATGGAGCTACCTGTCAGAAGGCATGTAATGGATTATGTTTAGCTGTGTTTATGTAAAAGGGTAAAGTCATTTACAAGTCATGGTTTGTTTTCTTCAACAGCAACTACAACAGCAACACCTACTACAACCACTCAAATGACACCTATAACAACAACTACAACACCTACAACAACTACAACACTTACAACCACTGAAACAACACCTACAACAACTACAACACCTACAACAACACCTACAACAACTACAACACCTACAACCACTGAAACAACACCTACAACAACTACACCTACAACCACTGAAACAACACCTACAACAACTACAACACCTACAACAACTACAACACCTACAACAACTGCAACACTTACAACCACTGAAACAACACCTACAACAACTACAACACCTACAACAACACCTACAACAACTACAACACCTACAACCACTGAAACAACACCTACAACAACTACACCTACAACCACTGAAACAACACCTACAACAACTACAAGACCTACTACAACATCTCCAGTAACTACAACAATGTCTCCTTCAACAACACTGCCAGGTAATTATGGACTTCTGGATTGAGGCCATGTTTGCACTACAGATTTTCTTGATTGTTTTACCCAGTTAAAGAAACTAGGATCCATTATCCCAGCACAGCAGAAGAAAAGTCTTGCAAATGTGTAAACTCTTTCTCATTGAATTGACACATTTTCATCACCCTTTTGCAAAACAGTTAACACGGATGTTTTACCTATGGCAACCAAACAGAAACGATCTATTCCTGACTATTAAAAACTACCAAGATCAGTATAAAATCACTGAAGCACCCGTTAAAATCACTGAAGCACCCGTGTAACACTCTTTCACAAAAATCTTCAATTAGCAATCAGTCTGCAAACCTCATATAAAAAAGTGGCAGGTCTGTGTTGTTCTTTGCCAGCATATATATATATATATATATATATATATATATATATATATAT